AATTTTTTTTTTTTTTTTTTTTTTTCAAAGTCCATGATGCTGTAGAGGCCAGTCACTGAGTACACAGTGATCACCTGGAGTAGTAGGCCGCGTGTGTCCTGGATTATGGGACCACCTCCCAACCCATCCTTACATCAATGCTCCTAGCGCACCCCCTATCCCACTATCCTACCTCAGTGTGAGCAGCACTCAGGACCATTACCCTACCAATGGGCAGGTAACTTGGACCGAACAGCAGTGATAGGCACCAGGGCTGATAGGTTACCCATCCATGGTGGAAGCGGAGTCGAATGAGCCTTGTCGAACGGGAACTTCGGACGCCAGGCCCAGACAATCTACTACAGGCCCCAAGAGACTCTAGACCCTAAGTTCAGACATTGTAGGCGCCGAAGCGACTTATTTCCATCCTGCCCTTCCCCTAGGGTCTAAGCCTTATATAGCCACCAGACAGTTCTATCTGAATATCAGGCGGGACTCCGGCGACCCTTACCTTAGACCCCTTCAGTCACCCCAAGAGACTCTAGACCCTAGGTCCAGACACCGTAGGCGCCGAAGCGACTTATTTCCGTCTTGCCCTTACTCTAGGGTCTAAGCTTTATGATATGCCCGAAGGCTGTGTGTGTGCTCTGTGATCAATGTAGCATCATGCGTGTTCGAAGCGAGGAGGGGGTAAGCTCGAATATCAGGGGGACTCCGGAGACCCTTACCTGTACCTACTACAGATACTAGACCCCACCCAGTGACTAGATCCCCCTAGTTACCCCAAGAGACCGTAGGCCCTAGGTTCAGACACCGTAGGCACCGAAGCGACTTATTTTCGTCCTGCCCTTACCCTAGGGTCTATGCCTTATAATATGCCCGAAGGCTGTGTGTGCTCTTTGAATCAATGTATCGATATGCATAGGCAGCATCATATGTGTATTTCGAAGCGAGAACGGGGTAAGCTGGACAAGAACCCACCCCCCGAAGGTCTGGACCAAGCTCGAACCCGTGACCTTGTAGCATGTAATTGAATGAGTGTACCATGTGAATAACTAGCGGAAATGGCACAAACGTGTAATATGCCTGACTGGGGAGATCGACAGAACACCCAAGACCTACGCCCCCAAGCAGCCCATGTGAAACCCAGAACCAACATACAACACCATGAACAACCCTTGGGTGGTGCGCAGGCAGTGTCTGTAATAGTACCATGCGTTTGCCCAAGGCAGTGTTTGTCCAGCCGTGCGTCATTCTAACGACCTGCCGGTGTCCATGCGCAAGGCTGCGGAGTTCTGAACCCGCAACCTCATACCACAATGCGCATTTCCAACCGGTGCTCTAACCACTGAGCTACATCAACTGGACAAGGTCGTCGCAATTTAGTATAGGGCGCCGTCCATTGTTTCCCTTTTGAGGGATAGAGTTTTTTACGTTGCAAACTGGGGACGGGCGATATGGGTCTGGGCGGGCGATTTGGGTCTGGGTGGTTTCCGCTTTTGTTTTTTTTCTCTTCTACTGCATCTTCCCAGAAGTACAGTATCGAAGCATATTACTACGCCCAAGTAAGAAAATCTAGAACTGACTGCCTTGCCTTGTTGGCAGGGCTTACTAAGAAATGGAAAGGAAAAAAAAAACGTATTGACTTTCGAAAAAAAAAAGAAGAAAAAATGCACTTTTTTTTTTTCCCAACAAGGGAATCACTTTATTAAACCGAAAACGAGGCCGGGAATTCCTCAACAAACAACCCGGAATAAAAAAAAGGAAAATTATGGGATCATTACCCAGCTTAAGTTCAAGCGTTGGGAGAAACTATCTAGGGACAGAAATGACCAAATCCAGACTGCTGTCATGTTATCTCCCCAACCCTGAAAAACAAAAATCTGCCAACATGGCCTACAAAGCCCCACAATCCCAAATTTCAAGAATCCTGTCAAAGAAATCAGAACACCAAGAAAAAAACAAAAAACAAAAAAAAACGCAGTTTCCTTTGCCCCGAGAGCTATGGAGATAGAGGGCCTTGCTCCACTACTGACCAAATGTGCAACATGAGCATGAATCTTCTTGTACAACACAGGTAGATACACTGCTAGTAGTTTAGAGCTTGAAATGCCCTTTTTCCTGGCGGCGTGCGGGGTGGTATAGCCCTCTGTAGCTTGCTATTAGTTTTTTAGTTTTTTCAACTTTTGTTTCCCCCCCCCCCCTCCTGCGATAGAAGAATCTGGGCTCCATCCAACGTCCTAACTCAATTGTCCTAGCTCAATTGGTTAAGCATGCAAGTGGCGGGAGATTGTGGGTTCAATACCCACGGCCGCCTGTGGCACTCTTGGTGCCAACCAACTGAGATAGTGAGCTGGATCCTCCCAATCGGTATCAGTAAGCTCTTCAGCCAACACGGGCGTGAGTGCGCGTGTGAGTGGGTTGCGTGTGGTGTGTGGGAGAGTGTTGTCTTTGGACACTACCATCCAGAAGGCTGTCCAACCCCTACTTCATAAGACCTTTGCCAAGCTTACTGTCTAGAACATAAAGCATGCTACCCGAATGGCTGCATCCCCGCGTTTGATGCGGTATAACAGTCAAATATGAAATGGAGTTGCTCCTCAAAGTCGTTGTAGGCTTTGGCCACTGCAGCAGGCGGAGTAGTAGTAGGCTGAGCCGAAGGCTAGTTAGGTTATAGGGGAGGTTAGCCTCCTTAAGACTAGTTTAGATAATGGTTGGGTAGGTAGAAGTCTCTACAATCAGAGATTTGTTGAACCAGAACATAGTTTTGAGAGATTGAATAGGATTGTGATACATCAAGTCCGGTGGACTGTAAGCTAAGCTGGCTGATGCTGTCAGATACCCTAGGTTGAATTGTGAGGTCCCCGATCTCAATGGTTTCTTCGTGTTGAATTAAAAGTAATGGTTCTGTTTAAAAAAAGAATAAAAATTTTGGTAAAAAATAATAATATAAATAATAATAAAAAATAAAAATAAGTGGCAAAATATCCCACTCCTAAAAGGAGGCTAAATCTCATCGACGGCTGTTGTTTCGTTTTGGAATCGGGGGTCCGGTGGCAGCCCACGTGGCCTTTCAGGCCTTTGTTATCATTATAGCATTATGGGTGTGACGGACCCGCCGGGATGGCGGTCCGTCAGAATCAAGACGAAGGGATGAGGATAGGGGAGATGGAGATGGAGCTGGAAGGGACAGCGCAACTCCAACGCAGACTCAACACGCACGTACTCCAATCTGTGCAAATGAAGAATGAGCCACAAAACAGACTGCAGCTGGGGTATACCCCCAACGGACTGACTGGACTGGACTGGACTGGCCTGGTACCGACAGTGGTACCGGGCAGGACTGGACTGGACTGAATAACCGCACGGCCTGTGGGGTCAGGCCACGGCCTGGTCCTACAGGCCGGACTGGCAAATAGCCAAATAGGCCCTGGCTGTGGGCCAGGGCAGATGAAGACCTGCTGCACGATCCTCAAACCTGTAATGGATCGCAAGAGCCATAAACACTCTATCCGCAAAAGCAGCGAAACTTTGCAATAAAGAAAGCTGAGAAATCTAGGATGCGGAGCAAGCTCCATGCAGAGTCCATGCGATGCATCCTAAGCTATATAATGTAAAAAAAAAAGCAAATGTTTGGTATACATATCCTAGCTAACAGCAGAAAATGAAATGTAGTATGATACACTCCTAAAGTCCTGGAGGCAGTGGCCTCAGTGCTGAAAGGAGAAGAGCAATATGTCACAAGATAATGTCATGTCGCTGAACCACTAAAAGTGGGATGGTCTCAGAGGGGGTGAATGCAGCCTAAGAATCGAAACTCCTAAGGGCAGTCACACATGAAGGTGGGATAGGTCATCAGGCTCAAGGTGGGAGAGTGGTAGCGAAACAAAACCAATGACCCTAACAGATAGACCATCAAGGCGGGTAATGCTCGACAAGGGTGACACCATGCAGGGTCGACCATGAAAAGAGGGAGCCTGGAATAGGGTGGAGATATGCCTAACTGAAGGCATGCAAGGGCCGGCACTAGGGTGATGAGGGCAGTGGGTGAGGGAAACATGCACACAACTCACCGACTGGGGGAGGAAGGAGCTAGATCTGGGAGCAGGGAAGCCAAGATAACGCTACGGTCCCAATGCCTATGCGATACCAAGGGAGAGCCCAACTCAAAGAGACCCAGCTAAGTGAGAACCATCATGCGACAGATGCAAGGGAATGTACATGGTAGGGTGGTGGCGTGAAGTAGTCACGTCCAAAGTAGCTGAAGCCGATAAGGTAGCTGAAGTCGTCGAATCGGTCGATGACGTCGATGAAGTAGCAGTCGAGTCGATGTCGAAGCAGAGCCGCAAAACGCTGACATCCTGAAGAAGAGCTGATGATGGAGTACCTGATGGTGTGAGTCAGTGGGGAAAGATGGAGGATAAGAGTGTCAGTCATCGTAACGTGAAGGGCGACGATGAGTGCGCTGTGGACTCTCGGAGGCGACCATCTGCGGCTGAGGAACGGCCTCAGAGGGAGCGGGCTCATCCTCAGCGATCTCCTCAGCCGGAGGAGGAGGAAGAGGGTCAGTCGGCTGAGTAGAAGCAGATGTCCCAGCATGACGAACACGATCATATGCACGCATCAACATCCTGGCGTGCTGCAAGTGCTCGAGGGGCTCCCAAGTAGCCTCCTCATCAGGGTAGCCCTTCCAACGCACAAGGTACTCGATGCGTGGAGGGGTATTGTCGGTAACTCGGCGTGATACGATGTCGGAAACAATGAACTCCTCGTGACCGTCCACCATGATAGGCGGAGGGCGCTCATAAGGGCGTCCGGCGAAGCGCTCGGACGGTCTGCGATAAGAACGCAGCAAGGCGACGTGGTAAACATCATGTACGTGAGTCTGTCGAAGGTAATCAGGTAGCTTCACACGGAAGCTGACCGGACTAGCGGCAGTATCAGAGCCGACGGCCTGAAGGATGCGGCATGGACCGAAGAAACGACGTCTGAACTTGCGAAGCATATCTGCTATGAGCTGTAAGTGGCGTGCGTCGACGAGCACATCGTCACCGACTTTGAATGGATGATCCATTTGTGATCGGTTCGCTCGTGCGGCCATGCGAGTCTGGGAGTCGGCTAAACTCTCGTGTGCGCGCTTCATAATCGCGGCCATGTGGGCGATCCAGTCGTCAAGCGCAGGGCAACGAGTGTTTGGGCGCAACCGCGATGGTCGGAGGAAATCCGCAGGTACGCGAGGGTGGTAGCCGAGGTCGCAATAGAATAGCGACATCCTCGTGGCTGGCGAAACAGCGTGGTTGTACGCATCTCCGCGTGGGCTAAGTGTAAGTCCCACTGCTGGTCATCCCTAACAAACTTTCGGAGGATATTACCGAGAGTTTTGTTGGTGACCTCAGTCTGACCATCCGTCTGAGGGTGGTAAGACGATGAGAAGCGGAGCTGGGATCCGTACACCTCGTGTAGGCGTCGCCAGAATGTGTTGGTAAAGCGCGGGTCACGGTCGGAGATGATGCTCTGAGGTAAGCCGTGATCTCTCACGACTCGGTCGAAGACGATGTCGGCGAC